TCTGAATATAATCTGGAATACGAAAGATATTTTTATCATTGTCAGTTTCAAATTAAGGGAAAATTGTAGATACTTTACACGAAACGTGATTTGGGGCCTTAAACCCTAAAGCTAGACTGAATACACAGTATCCTTACTAATATTATAAATCGGAAAGTGAGTGTTTGTTTGTTCCGCTTTCACGCCGTAACTACTAAACCGATTGCTTTGAATTTTTACAGACGTTAAGTTAGAAGTCCGGATTAAATAAAAGGGTACTTTTTATCCCGGAAAAAATTGATATTCCCGCAGGAAAACAAAAGTATTGGTATAGATGGCGCTGTATGTATTGGTATGTATATGTCACATAGGCTACTTTTTATACTTTTGTGACGCGAGCGAAGCCGCGGGTAAAAGCTAGTATAATATAAGTATGTAAATAAATATATTACAAACTAACAACATGCTTACCATTAATGTTGTCAAAATAGTAACACATATAAATTAGATATTATAGATACATGCACAAATACGATGTTAAACTTAATTGGCAATAATAATACATACAACAAGACTACAATACATGCCCATTATGTGGAAAGGTACAATATTGATATCTGTCGAATCCTTGTTCAAAATTCAAGATATCATCGCTCTGTTCGATGACACAGGTTAGACAAGGTGAATTAGCCAGTCAGATAAGCACCAAGGTAAAATGAACTTAATGAAATGGAAACACGAGATGATTTCATTAGACACACTGTAGTGGAGGTGTTGGGATACCTTTGTTCATATAAAAAAAGTTCTATATTTAGATATCTACTAAATGATACTTTTATTCAGGCTAGAAAATATGCTTTATATTTTTTTTAATAGTAATTAAATTAATTAAAAAAGGAGGGTGTTGTTTGGTTTGGTAAATGGTAACGTATCTATTTTATATTAAGAGTACCTACCTATCTACCTAATAGGTAACATTAGTCCAAATAAAATAATGAGTATCTGTTCTGTTTGTAGTTTCATATGCAAAATGTTACGCAAAGCTATAAGTTACAATAACGCCAGTTATAGGAAAAGTAATGAATAAAACATGAGTAAATACGTTTAGGTACTTTTTAGCAAATAACCACCGTTCTGCGTACTAATGGGGTCACCTTAAATATACAGTTGTACACCTAGACGGCTTATCTTTTACAAGAATTTTACAGTTTACCTTTTGCACACCTAGGTACTACGGTAACGTTTTATGATATTTTATAAAAACACATTCTAATTTCAAGCACGACAGCATGCTTCAATTGAGTACTTGTCACATAGTATCACAGTAGCATATTATGTATCGGAGTGTTGCTCAGAATAGCATGTTCATTTCGGGCATGCTTGCGAATCAACAGGCGTTCGATTTTTGAACATTTTTGAGCATGTTCAATAGAAAGCCTTTTAGCGTGCTATTTTAGAGCATGTGTAACAGTACTCAGTTTTTTAAGGGGGGGG